GAACCAGAACCAAGATAATGACCAACCAGGCCACACCTACAACTGGGCTCTTTTTTTGATGTTGGTAATGAAGCTTGCTCAGCTTTTTTTTTGCTAATAGCTGGTGCTCTACCACTTGAGCCTCACCTTCACTTCTGGCTTTTGGCTCAATGCTTGGAAATTTAAGTCTGTTGGATTTTCCTGCCCTGGCTGGCTTTGAACCATGATTCTCAGATCTCAGCCTCCTGACTAGCTAGGATTATAGACATAAGCCCTCAGCCCCCAGCATAAATAGAACTCTTTAGGCATGCTTTTTGGCTCCTGCCCTGAAGTCTTCCATTATACCTTTGTACCCTTTAAATGACTGAAGATAAACTGCAGTGCCACTTTCCTGTGCCAGATGTTTTATTATGTGGTATATAAAACATTATACCACATAATAAAACATCTCTGCCCTTCATCAAGTCTTTTTCTTTCTTTGATAATACTACAGTTTGAACTCAGGGCCTCAAGCTCGCTAGGCAGGTACTGCCACCCCTTGAGTCATGCCTCTAATCCTGCCTTTTGCTGGTGATTTTTGAGCTGGATCATGTAGACTTTTCTGCCTCTGGTGACTATGAACTGAGACCCTCCAGATAGTCTCAGCTAGTTTAGGATTAGAATTAGGGACATCAGCCACTAGCAAGTGGCCATTGGGTCGCTTTGCATAATGGCTGAGTGGCTGGGTCTGACATATTCCTTTCCTTATAGACTTTATCCCTTTCACTAAGTTTTGAGGCTTAGTTGAATTCATCCTGCTGGACACAGGACTAAGCTTATTTAGCTATTTATTTATTTAGCCATTTAATGTGCTGACTCTCTAGTAACATTTACCCTTTCCTCTGAAACCATTCACCAGAGATGTCCACCTTAACTGGCTTCCAGGAGTATTAGTCAGTGCTTAAATTTGAATGGGGAAAGAAGCTGGCCTTAGCAATGGTTCTGTGCTTGCTTCCATAAGCACATGATGAAAGCTATTTCTAGTCTCCCAAGCAGAAGCACAGGCTGGAGAACCAGCACAAATCCTGGAGCTATGTTTGCTGGGTTTGTACCCCAGTGCCAATTTGTAGTTACCCTATCTATGGTTTGGGCAAGCCAAGTATTGTCTGGTACTCAGTTTTTCTTTCCATAAAATGGACATATTTTGAAACATAATTTTTCCAAGGAACTTGTTTTAAAATTTTTAAAGAAGATTTATGTATTTGGCTATATGTCTATTGCCTCACACTTACTACAATAGTAATAAACCTTTGTTGAACTCTCATTCTCTTTACCATCCCCCCCCCCGAAAAAAGTACAGTCATAACTTTTTCCCTGGTATGTAAAGGAGCTATTAGTAGCCTGGATGTTCAAAGTACAGCTTTCCTTCTCAAAATGAAACTAGATTAATATTCATTATGGATATCACATTTTTCCCATCTTTTTGCCTAAGGTGTTCATTGATGTTCACTTGCCCATAAAACATTTTGTTTGTGAAAAATTACATAACAATGAAGAGAATAAAACCAGTTGTTTAATTGCAGTCACGTTTATTTGCAGTTTCTATACACACTTTCTAGGTAATCAAACTTTTCTGGTACATTTTTTGAGAGGGGTTCACAATGAAACTGTCACCGTTTTTACTAAAAATAAATACAAGACTTAAAGTGTTGCACAGCTCTAAAATATACAAAGGCTTGGATTGAATGTAAACGTTGAAAACATCTTACAAAAGAAACCATCTTGGCAACAATTAAAAAAGTTCATATTTACAAATATTACAAAAATACAAAATGGATGCAAGTCCATAAACCATTGTCTTTGGGGCCAGCATGAACTGGTTCTAGTACCTTCTTCAGCATTTTAGATCTTTTCGTTAGGACCTCATTCTCAAAATGCCACCGCTGCGGCAACTATGCTTCCTGACCTTTGGCAAAGAGCAAATCACATATTTTATTGGTACAACTAGCCCATGTCCTCTGCTTAGCCAAAAACAAAGCAAAACAACCAAAAATAAAAATCAAAGCAGATTTTTTTAAAAAGAGAAAATTTGCCCATGTGACATAGACATGTTGTATAAACATAAAGAAAAAAATAGCATCAGTGCAAACAACAGAAGAAAAGTTTGGAATGATGTTCTTTGTAATACCTAATGTGTGTACCTGCGTCAAGCTGGCAGTGATGTTAAGACAGCCCTAAACTTTGCTTTTGTTTGTTATGTAATAAAGCCATGTAGAATGTTCCAGATTACTAAGGAATTGCTTGCTTGCTTTTTTACTCAGTTTGTTACTCAATACTCTTTATTTTTTCCACAGTGAATTTATAATCCATCTTTATTTGGGTTTTTTAAATATATGAAATATAAAATAGAGAAACTCTGTATAGATTTTTTGAGTAAACAAAATAAGTAAAACTATATTATAAGGGTTAGTTCTGTGATCATTACATATAGAAGGTATCTTATTGCCTCATAATTCAAGTCAATATGTATTTTAAAATATATATATGGTACCATTACTTAAATCAATGTCAATAATAAAGAGGTGACATTTTTATTAAAGCCAATTCATGGGTTTTCTATTCAAGATTTAGAATAATTTTTTTTAAAGCCCACAAACCTTTCTTCACACTTAAAAAACCCCTAGCTATGCAAAAGCCATACTGCAAACGAACTGCTTTTATGAAAATTGCAATCACCTATTGTGACTGAAAAGAATGGTTTCTTATCACATTTACCTAAAATCTTTTATTTCTAAAAATTTGCCAAGTTTTCTTTTCAAAGCATGAAACAGATTTGTTCATGTTCCCATGCTGGTTTTCTTAATTCATGTGTTCCAATGAGAAATGGATGGTCCATTTGTTTTCAAACCCCAACACATTTTTAATAATAAAAAGTATAACACTTCATAAATGTTCAAACCCTTTACCAGGTAGCTTATCTATCCCCAGTACACATGAAGGTCTCTCTCGCTCACTTGCGTGCTCTCTCTCTCTCTCTCTCTCTCTCTCTTCCTCTACCCCTCCACCCCCAGCACCCATTTTACATACAAGTATGACAAGAAATTAAGTGACACAATTTGGTACTAAAAACAAATATTAAAAGCCAGAAATTTTTATTTTCTTTCCAAACAAACAAAACACCAACAGCAATCAGAATCTCTAATTCTTAATCTGTAACTCTTAAAACACATCTCTATTGAAAGACAATATCTTCTTAGACCAGGCTTTCTCATTCATTTTTTTGTATGAATGAATCACAATCTAAAAACAACCTTTCATACCTCCTACCTTCCCAAATACCACTTGCATAGGCATAAAGCCAGCTGCTTATCAATTTTTTGGTAACCCTGGTGTGTTCTATCATTGTAATCACATTCTATTCTTTTAAAAAGATCATATCCCTTCTGAAATCTCTCTACATTGTACCTCTCCCATTCAAAAATCTAAGTACATAGCTGCTTATATTTCTGACATAAGATTCCAAACACTAGTAACAGTTCACGTTAAAATCAGAAGTGCAAAAACCACTTGTAGATTTCAACTTGTAACTACCGTTTTTTTCAGTTTTAAGACAAGAAAATTCAAGTAATTTCAAGTAATTCAGCTTATTTCCCTGCCTTCATGTTATCAGAGCCTTTGCCCTGACATTTCCTTCCCCACCCACCACCCTCCCCTTTGCCATCAAGCAGATAGAGTAAAGCCAGACAAAAACTCAGTTGTATGTATCATTGTGAACCAGAACTGCGCCCCATTCCCAGTTTAATAGTGAATATAAATAATGCATATACACATACCTATCTCCCAACTACGTTGTTCACAGTGTCATTTCTGTTCACTTTTTTAGGTAGCATGAATTTCATCAGTACAGAGAGAAAGCTTTGCTGAAAACTCATTGCAGGTTTTAATAGCTCTGTAACATGCTTAGGTTTTATCTTCGTTAGTTTAAGAACCTGGAGCTAATTGCTAAACCATTTAAGGACTTCAAAAGATTCTAGTCATTAGATTATGACTCCAGTAGCCTAATATGTTTCATCATAACCTAAAATGAACTACTGATTTTCCTACTCATTCTCTTTAAAGCAATCCATTAAAAAAATTAAAACCTAAAAGACACTGTCAAATGCTGTTTTTCAGGGCTTTGTGTTGAGAATGATGATTTCTTTCATTGATAAAAGGTGTCAATCAAAAGCATGCTTTTCATTCTGTCCAGATTTCCACATGGCAAATCAAAGCCACGAGTTTCTATTAGCTTGTTTACATAAATGACTAGGTCTGAGTTCATTACTTCAGATTAACCACATTTCAGTATATGACCTCAAGATTTTTTTAATTTGCCAGTTTTTAATTCATATTTGAGGTTCATCACTTTGAAATCATACTGGTGGACATTTAAATATGGTATTTAATATGAAAATGGTATTCACAGAATACAGTTATTATACTTTATTCTTGTGTGTTCTATAAACAGTTGGTGTGCGGTAGATAATTGGCCACATGTCCACTCATTGTTGATAAATCTATTTACACACTTTTATCAAAAATATGGTATTTACATATGTGTAGTTCTTTCTTCTAAATTTTGCTTTAGTTCATTTTAATGTAAAAAAATACCAAACCTCCGGAGTAATTTCATCTTCTTAAAGAATCATGACAGTGAGGGCTTTATTTTCTGAATAGGCAGCTCTGGGAAAACCTTGTGTAGGTTTCATGAAAAGTAGATACTTTTATCTCTTTTGTATTTCCTATTATCACAGGGAATGAAATCAGATAAATCAAACTAAGCTAAAGAAAACCATGAAAAACAGTGCAGCTACTTAAAACATGGAAACCAATCCAGAATGACTCCATCAACATCCCATCTCCCCAGCAGGTATTTAAAAATTCATTACTTAGCAGTTATGGTACCCCCATCCTATTGGGAATTCTCTCGAGATCTCTGTGGTATCCCTAGGGTCTGTCATTACTAAGGGTTTGGGCATTGGGAGGGAGCCTGGCACGGAAGCTTATGTGGAGCTCTGCGAGGAGCGGTCATCGTGTGGGCTCCCATCAGAGTTTTCTGTCTCTCCCTCAGAGATGGCCTGCATGGGTGTGTTGTACAGCCTGCAGCGTACACTATACCGGCTGCTGCTGGCCACAGGAGGTGCTCTGGATCGTCCCACCCTGGCTGATGCTGAGCTGGCAAAGTTCTTTGAGGAGAACCCTTCTACACTGACCCGTGGGGAGCAGGGAGAGAGAGGGGACAATGCCTCGGCCCCAGGGGATCCTTGATGGGCATCATCAGAACTTTGTGGGGCCTCCCCTGGAAGCTCCCCAGGAGGTTTCGGCAGGATGGGACTCTTGAGGATCTCTGTGGCAGACATGCGGTAACTGGAATCAGAGCGACTGCCTTTCTTGAGGAGGAGCAGCTTAAACTCTTCGTTGGATGTGTTGGATTTTTTGGCATTTCGGTAGATGAGACCAGGGGATCTCTGGCTGTTTGCAGTTGTCACGCTGCTGCTGGAGGAGGTGACAGAACTGGTGCTGCTGCTGCTGCTGCTGCTGCTGCCACCGGCACCACCAGCACCACCACTGCTGCTGCTGAGGGGAGCTCTGGATTTGCTTCGAACAGACATGTCACCGGAATCTTTTCTTCCAAGTACTTTCCTCTTGGATCTTTGAAGGAAAAAAAAAGAAAATGGGTAACATTTGGAGTCCACATAGGGCACTTTATGAAACAAAAAGTATTGGATTCCTATTCCTGCCTCTATTTAAAAAGGCATCCTGTAGGAGAGGTTTCTCAGCTTTAGGACCACAGAGATAAAGAGGAAGATACATTCTTTCCCCTCGTGGTGCTCACAGACTTAGAGAAATTGTCTGATAACCAATGGACATTGGCTAGGTTTCAGAGATGGCATTTTTTGATAATGGTTACTGTGGACACTGGACATTCCAGAAGAAGACTTACTTAGGGATTGTGCAACAGGTTAAGAAAAAAAAAACTGCTGTCTAACTGACCTTCAACTTACCATGTGATCAGAGACAGCTGGTTTTTTTGTTAGTAAAGCTGTCTTTAAACTAGAGATGAAATGCTCTACTGGCCAGAATTGGCCTCCAAATAATAGCACAAGTGTGTAGAGGTGTGAATGGGACAGGATGGACCCTACTTTGATGATGAGGCTGCAGGAATGGATATATGACTATGTATTAAGACTATTCTGTGTACTCTTACATTTCCTGCTTATAGAATGTTAGATTAAAAAGACTTTTTCAGTAAGCAGATCTATTCTTGGCTGTAAATCCCATTTCCCTTAGCTTCCTAGTAACATCAATAGCATATTAATCAGTAAGCTAACTCTTGGTGAAGAATGGAAAACTTAGCATCTCAGGATCCCTTAAAGCTTTGTACACTCTAAGTTCTCAACAAAGTAAAATAGCTGGTGAGTATGGTGGCAATCCTGTAATTCTAGCTACTAGAAAGGCTGCCTGGGCAAATGGTTTATGAGACTCCATCTCAACCAATAAAAGGCTAGGCATGGTGATGTGCTCCTGTTATCACACCCACATGGAAAATGTAAATGGAAAGACTGCTAACCAAGCCAGCTCAGGCAAAAATAAGAAACCCTATTCAAAAATTCATAAAAGCAAAAGGGGCTAGAAGCATGGCTCAAGTGATAGAGCACATGCCTGGCAAAAACAAGGCCCTGAGTTCAAATACACACAAGCACTAAAAAAAGGAAAGGAAAGAAAAATATCACTTATCACTTAAATAAGCAAAACCTACGCAAATACAAATCTAAGAGGATCAAACTTCTCAAGTCTAGTGAACCTCCAAACTCACCATATTATTGATTTTGTCTTGATAATTAAGCAGAAATAAATGCCATGAATCATCAGTAGCACTCATTTCATGGATAACATGAAATGAACTAGCAACATGATTTCTCACCAACTTAAAATCTATAGGATGAAAAAGAAACCTGAGTTTTGTGATCGTTTTGTGATCATAAACCAGCCTAAGTTTGGTTCATTAAAAACTCTGTGGTTATGATTTGGATGTACCAGTATCTAGACATCCCAATAGAGTAGATTTTTCAAATAATATTAGCTTTTAGCAGATATCATATTCTAGACATAAAAATATTAACTTTATCATCAATATCAAATATATGAGCTATAGATATTCTTACTTACAGTAAGAGGACAGATAGGTTCAGAGATTTTAACTTACCCAAGGCTACATAGAAAGAGTCAGACCTGGGATTCAAATTTAAGTCTTTTTTATTCTACTACTAATGCCTTATTCACTATTCCAGACATAGCAGATGGCTCTTTGTGGGTATTTGGCTCTTTAACTTATAAAATATGGGAGGTGAGGGGAATATGGCTAAGGCTTAGACTAGTCATTGAGGTGAATAAAAATAAAACAATGGTTATTTACCCACCGAGTACAGAAGTGTGCCTGCTACTGTATATGTAGAAATTACTTTCAATTGAATCCCTAAAACAAAAATACCCCTAAACAATCCCACTGTTTTTAAAGAGCAGTGTTCTTCTTTCAAGAGGATACTGAATCAAAAAAATCAGAAGATAAAAGTTGTTGGAAAAAAAAGCAGAAGCTGAGACAGGCACTTGGTGGCTCGTGCCTGTAATCGTAGCTACTCAGGAAGCTGAGATCTGAGGATCCCGGTTCAAAACCAGCAGAAAAAGCTGGGCAGAAAAGTCCTCATGAGACTTTTATTTCCAATTAACCACTCAAAAACCGGAAGTAGAGCTATAGCTCAAAGGGATACAGTGCTAACCTTGAGCAAAATAGCTCAGGGACAGCACCCAGGCCCTGAATTCAAGCCACATGATCCACAGGAGAAAAAAAAAAAGCAGAAGCCAAGGAAGCTGGGGCGGGAAGGAGGAGAGTTGTAAGCTGCTTGCTTCAAAAATGGTTTGTGAAGTTGTGAAATAGTAAAGAAAATCTCCAAATTCTTTCCTTTGAGAATTCCATCTAGGTACCTGAGGTTCGTTTTTTCCCCACCGTGCATTTAAGCCTACCCATTTGACGTGGAAATGTCATTCTTCCTTGCTTGCCTGAGGTTTTGCTGGATATATTACAGGGAGGAAAGGCTTTCTTCCCATGTTTATATTTGATGAGAAGCAAACCCTTTCTTTTTGGGGGGATAGGTGGAACTTGATGATACTTTCTCACCTGTGAATGACAGCAAATAAATCCTCAGTTGTCCGAGGTTTGTTTGGAGACACAAACACGCCTTCTGCTTCAGCTTGCGAGTCTTCACTAAGGGGTGAGATGATGGAGTCATCACTTGGTGATGATTCTTCAAATAAGAACAGAGATATCTTTAAGAGAAGTTTCTCAGCCCAGTAATGTGCTTCAAAGTCTCAACACTCAAATAGGAGTTACAGAAACCATCATTGTTTAAATGACACAGAGAGATCTATTGGCTACAAAAACTTCTATCTCAATCATTTTAGTAAGCAAAAAGAAATAGTGGAAGGAAACCAACACCCCGGGCTGTATGGAATGCAAGAAAGCAAAAGGAAATGGCTGAAGACATATTTCCATCATGACAAAGGCAGAGATGACTGACCTTTCAATGAAGCCTCATCCACGTTTCCTTGGGTCTCCTCTGCTCTGCTGTTATCAGAGGCACTTTGGGGTGAAACACCTGAAGCAATATTTTCCTGCTCAGAACATTTTTCAGGGAATGAGTTTACAGTTGATGTCTCTGATTCATAGCGGATATTCCCAGGCACTTTGTCATGGTGGCGGCTCATAACAAGTTGATGCTTACGTTGATTGCTTATGTCTGTTGCTCTCATTGGTGAAGTAGACTGAAATGTAATTACATCCACAGATTCAGATTGGGTACCATCTTCTTGATCTACAGAGGATGATTTCAGTACTTGCACTAGGGCTCCATCTGACCCAGATCCACACTGTATTATTTTACCATCCAAATCATTGTGGCGGCCAGCAGATACCCTCTGAAATCCTTCAGTGGAAACCCCACAGCTTTTACTTGATACATTTTCTGGCATAGGGTCATTTCCCATCTGTGGGTGGTCTTTTGTGCTACCGGTTGAAGTTGCAGTTTCTGGATGGCAGTGGTTCTTCCCATCAAAAGTAGGGTTCTTTTCCAAATGGAGTTTATCTGGTCCCATCTCAACTGCAGTGGAGTCTACAAAGGTCAGTATGGTATCTTCAGCAGAATACTGACGGGATATTGGTTTCTTTGTTGTATGTGACCTAGTCTTGCCTGGAGACAAGGCAGCCATTGTGAGAGCACTGTCCTCTAAGTGGGGCACATCTGTATTGTTGCCTTCTCTTTGCTTAACTTCTTCAGACTTGCCGATGGACCTAAGGTTAACAGATTTCAAGACTGTTGGTGTAATTGCAAGAGATGGTGGAGGATTTGACCTCAGCGTTTCTCCTACTGGGTTCTGCTTATAAGTAAAAACGTGCAATGGATGACGGTGATGGAATGGTTTATTCAAGACATTATGAAGAGCACTTAGGTCAAGATGGGTAGGAGGTATAATCGGAAGTTCAAGATCTTTATTCAGTGATAGAGTTCCATCTTTTAAAGAAGGCTGCTGTAGGGAGGATTTCCTTTCTGGAACTTTAGGTTTTCTTTTGCTACCTCCAGGAGACAATGGACCTGAAAAGAAAGCAGTTGGGAAAGAGGATGTTGGTGTTTCAGACTGGCTTGAGTAACCACTTGATGGAGATGCCAAGCCAGCCAGCTTTTCTGGTGAAGCCAATTTAAATTCATTGTCAACTGAAGGAAGAGATGGAGTGGTGGCCCTTGATTCTGATTGTGATGTTTGGGATTCAGAGCTCTCTGGAGATTTGATGCATTCGATAACTGTAGTACCTGTAGCTGTGCTTGAATTGGATAAAGATCTATAAGGATCGTTTGTTTTCAAGTCATTTAAAAGCCAGAGGTCTGCATAGTGAGTTGATTCAGCACCTTCATCTTTGAATGATGGAATATCTGTGGTATCCAACTGAGGTTCCTTAACACCATGTTCACTCTGGTTCATCCAAGGCTCCTGTTTGGTAGGAACACTGGCATTTTCCACTCGAGAAGGTGTGTTGGAGAAATCAAGAGGCAGCTTCATTTCCCTGGAACTGTGAGGCAGGTGCTGACCACTGCTTATCTTTGGTTCTTTCTTCTCAGAAACATCTGTGTTGCCTTCAGACTTCCTCAACGATGAGCTCCGTTTAGGTGGGGTTGGCTTTGCCTTTGGTTTCCTGAAAGAGATACTTGGTCGCCCCTGCCTCCTGTGATCTAAGTAGTCCTGCCAGCCGCATTCGGGAAGACCAGGAGGAACCCCAACGCCTTGGCCATTCTCTGGGCCTAGGGCTGCATAGTGACAGACATAGCCTTTATTGCCTTTCAGACCACAATCGAAGTGCATGGAGGTATAGTATCCTTCCGTGTCGACTGAGAAGTGGGAGCTAGTATCTGCTTTGTCTGATGGAGATTTTTCCAGAAAGCTGTCATAAGTGGCCATGCTTGTGAAGCTCGCGCAGCCCAGACTATCTGCCTTAGTACGCTCAGGACTAAAATCTTGGCGGCAGGATGCATCATGATGGTGGTGTAGGTAATTCCACTCACTGTCACTTGTGTTGCTGTTGTTGGTGTCATCCAGGAGATCAGCAACAGTGGAGGTAAAGGAGTTGGCCCGGTGGCCTCTCACTTTCTCCAAGTGGTCATTGTACTGCTCTGCCACAAAGACATTGGTGTCTTCATTAGCATGAGGAGCTGTGTTGAGAGACAACTCTGAGTCACAGTGTGAAGAGCCAGTGAGGGGAGGTGAAGCTGCAGGAGGAATTGTTTCTGAGGTCTGCGAGGGACATGTGGAGCTGCTGCCACTCCAGTTACCACTGGATGACTGATGGTCATCTTTCTGGTCCATGTGGCTGCCAAGGAGGACGCCAGCAGTGGAAATGCAGTGGATGGGGCTCCCAAAGGTGTCTGAGTTGGAGGAGATATCACAGCTGCCAGAGTCAGCAGTCATTCGGGATAGACGTGACCTTCCTCTCTCGCTTAGCTTGTGCTGGGGGCTGTGAATATGCTGAGAACAGGCCAGTCCCAATGCAGCCTGGTGTTCCTGTGCACTTGGGCTGCTTGGAGCCTCACTACAATCATTAGGGGTTCTTTCATGGTCTCCCACAAAAGGTTCTCCATCTTCATAGGTTGAAGGTTTAGCACCAACTTTGGGCTCAGCATCTCCACCTCTATTACCCTCTCGAGGAAGGCTCCGAGAACGGGTACGGCTGCTCACTACAGGAGTAAACATGGTGTCACCTTTGTCTGCCAGGGCAGAAATGTTGCCGGCTGAATGAGAAAGGGAAGCTGCAATGCTTTGACCCCTTTGAGCTCTGATTCTTCTTCTGGATGGGGCAGCAATCAGAATATCTTCAGTTTGGCATTCTGAATCCCTGGTTCCGGACCTCCGATTGACAATATTAGAGGGGTCTGGGTTTGTGTGCACAATCACGTTCCTTTCCCTGGCCACTGGGGACTCATCAGAATCTAGGGCACAGGGAAAACACAATGAGATATCTCATGTATCAGCAGAATAACGTGCTTTTTTTCAGAGATATCTACCAGTCTAAATGCTGGCATGTTAGAGATCTCTCTCTTCAGACAAACACACAAACAGTAGCCAGGCAGCAGTGGCTCATGCCTGTAATCCTGAGGTTCCTGATCTGAGGATCCTGGTTTGAAGCTAGCCTGAGCAGGAAAATCCTTAAGATGCTTATCTCCAAATAATCATCAAAAAGCCAGAAGCAGAGCTGTAGCTCCAGTGTTAGAATGTTAGCCTTGAGCAAAAAAACTCAGGGACAATGAATTTAAGGCCCAGGAAAAGCACAAGAAAAAAACATAGCAGTGAATAGATAACATTAGGAGAAAGTTAGAATACTTTCTATCTCTGGCTTTGTCTCTGCTTCATTCTCTATATATTAGCAACTATATTTGCATATACACATTTATCTATGTATATATACATACATACATACAAAGAGATGTTCTCTCTCTTTTTCTGTGTGTGTGTGTGTGTGTGTGTGTATGTGTGTGTGTATGTGTGAGTGTGTGTGTGTATACCATTTGTGGGGCTAGAACTCAGGGTCTGGGCACTGTTCCTTAGATTTTTCCCTTAAGCTTTTTCACTTGAGCCGTAGTTGTTTCTGGCTTTTTGATGATTGACTAGAGATAATAATCTCACAGACTTTCCAGCCAGGGCTGGTTTCAAACTGCAATCTGAGGATCTAAGCCTCCGGTGTAGTTTGATTATAGGTGTGGGCCACTAATGCTTGGTTTGCTTTATATCTTTTCTGAATTATCTCTCTTCATCCTCATTCATTTGTACTCCCCCCAAAACTGCCTTTTCTGTACTAAAGTACCTTTTATCCTCTTGGCTGTTATTTTCCTTTGTGTTTATAATATTAACATGTTGAAATAAAAATCATAGAGCTCATTACAAGAAATAAAAATAATATTTACAGGAGATGCTACCATAATAGTAATACTGTTTTCAAAATAGAGATGTTCTCAATATGATGAACAGAAAAAAATTGGAAATATCACTCAAGGGCATCATATTTTCAATATTCTAGTATGCTCAAAATGTACATTTTAAAATAATGCCATACAATTGTATCTTTCCTAAATGAAATTCCAAGTCCCATAAAAAAAGACTTGCATTGAATCTTTCTACTTTTTATGAAGTTTCTACCTTAATAGAACTTTTTAAAATTGGCAAAAGATTTCATTTCAGCCAGAAGACTGGAATTTCCATGTCTGAGTCTCTAATATTAACCCTTTATAGTTAAGATCAGAAGTTAAACAAAATTCCAAAGGTGGTATCGATCAAGTTGCATTGTGCTTATAATGTGATTTGTTGAATGGTAAATACTTTATACAACTAACTAAAGATAAAAGTATAATTTTAAATACTCATAATCTTGTATATTACAAATGCAAAAGGGAAAGCAAAATAAAAATAAAAATTCACTCAAGTTTTTAAAAAATATCCACCTAGTTTGCTGAATATAAAAGAAACACACATTATTTCCAAAGCTCTACCAGTTAAAAATATTTATTATTTTTTTAAGGAAACCATTCGAAAGCTGTCATTCATTTCAACTTCCTGATAATATGCACTACACAGAAACCATGAGCTTTTTCTTAATACCACACCTATTTCTTGTTGAACTCTTCTGGGGATACCCGAGATGGTTTTCCTTCTCCTCAATTTCCGTCTTCGCTGTAGGACAGATTGTGAATGAACAAGAGAGCAGCGTATACCAGCCTCTCTGTCAAAACCAACTCCTACAAACCACAAATAGGACTCATTAGCTTTTAGAAATGGAAAACAAAATTTTCACTTACTTGGAACACAGTGACATTTATTGGTTGGAAGTAAGGGAAGCCTGTGACCAAATATAAGGGAGCCCTTATTCAGCTCTTATTTAAATGATGCTGTAGTACATTAAGCTTTACTTCTAAATGCAGTTTTCTACAACAGCTTGCACTGTCAAAAGTCACCAAAAAAAAAAAGAGACGAAAATCAAAACAAAGAGAAGAGAGAAAAACCATAAAAAAGCACTCTCAAAGAGTAATGGATCCTTTAGGATTTATAACCTTTAGTCACTACTATTTACTGGTCTATTTCTGGGCTCTGTGAAACTGATACCTTTGCATAGTAGATCCGTAGCCAAGATGTTAACCTGAATTAGTTCAGCTAACATACCCTGACCCACTTCTTCATTAAAAGCTTCTTTGTGAACTTTTTCTCCTCTACCACCACCACCCCCCCCTTCACATACACACAAACACACATGCTGCAAGGAAACAACAGCATGGGGAGTTTTTTTTTTTTTTTTTTTAAAAACTATGCTGTACTCTACTTTCTTCTGCTACTGACTTCATTGGATGCTTTTTTGGTTTAGTACCAGCTGTCCTGCCAATGGGAGAATAGAGACTAGAGACTCAAATATACCAGGGAGTCTCTAGTTCCCGAAATGAAAAAGCTAGACTCCCCAGGCTTTAAACTACTTAGTATTTTGTTATGTGTAGGGGCCCAACCATGATGCTTATTAGTTTATTTCTAAATAATCCTATTGTCAACTGTTCTATCAAAAGTAGAACGATGAGGAGGGATATGAAGATCTCAACTTCGGTCTGGCCTACCCCCTCACTGTGAAATTTTCAGAGTGAGCTTCACCTCAGGAAGCCACAATGTTGTGCTTTAGAATGGCTCACCTCATCATTTATCTTAATTCTTAAGCACAGGGCCACCAATGGCAGGTTAAATCTTCACTGTATAATGAAGAAGTTGAGATTGACTTGGCATCACAGTGCCAACAGTTTCTAGAATTCACTTTGAAATGCCTGTTTCACATCATGAATAATTACATTATTACCACAGAATTCATACAAATGGGATTTTCCTTTCTTGGTTCCAACTGAATGTTAAAAGCCTTCATTCTAATTTTAAGGGTATCAAGACACAGATATCATGTGTTATATAGACATAATTAATAATGTTATCTTTAGAGCTCTTGAAATCAACATCTAATCTAGGCTTGAGTCTGAGAGTTCTTGAAATAAAGCAGAAAGAAAACCCTTCCCTTTATCCTAATCACAGGACGATGGTCCATAATCATAGTACTAAATTTAAAAACAAGATTTTACTTACAGTGCCAGGAAGGAAGCAGGTGCTTCTAATAACCAGATGTTCCCAGAACTGAAAATTAGTTTAAGAGGGTGCCAAAATGATCTGTCATGGCAGCTGAACTCCACTAATACATCCCACTTAGATTACAGAGATCAGATAAGCACATATCTTTAGAATAATTTATCCTACACATTGAATAGATCATCAGGAAAAGGTATTCCCAGCTCACAGCGAGCCAATCAACTAAGAATGTTTTTGCAGAAAGGAACTAGTATCTGTCTCAGAAACCTGGCCCATTTGTTCCCCAATCGATATAAGAGAAATCTGAGTAGGGTTAATAATAGTTATGTCCAAATATGTCAAGGGACATGTAATCTTTAGTCATGTGGCACCAAGATTCAAATCAGTTATAACATGGTTATTTTGCTGTTCTTTCATCCTTTCCCTCGCTCTCTCTAAGTCCCTCATTTCCATTTCCATGTTTTGATGTTTTCTATACATAAATATGATGAGGTGTTTTAAGAAATCCTAGTGGATAGATCATTGAATTTCTACCTTTAAAGTTGGAATACCTTAAAAATATGATTTAACTTGCAGCTAAGGTTACCAGAGCCAATTTTGGAATTCCTAATTGCTGCAAATATACTTTAAAGAAAAGTCCAGCTAGGCTCCTGACTAAACTAATACTCAACTTCTCTATACATAAAAGGAGAAAAGTGAAAGAAAGATAGATTTGTTGGTTTTAAAGCAGAATTCATCCATCTTCTATGTATTCATATTTTGAAGGTCAAAAATTCCTGAAATCACTAAGTCTAAAGAATCTTTTTTTTTTAAAAAAAAAAAAACAGCTTACCTTCATCCAAGGAAACATGAAAGCATGTTTTCCAGTTGGTGAGCAAGACATTACAGGAAGTTTTAGAAACCTGGGGTGTGCTCTATTCTTTCTTGCAATTGCCTAAATTCATTACCATGTGATTAATTTCTCCATTATTTCAGTAAGCTATGAGCAAAGAGCTATTTGGTGGTTTTTTCCTCAAAAAGAAACTGTCCATCATTTACATAACAAGCAGCATATGTACAAATTGATGTTCAAAACTTGACAAAAGAATATTGAAGTGGCGCTGTAGCTCAAGTGGTAGAGCACTCGCCTTGCGCTGAAGAGCTGAGGGACAGCGCCCAGGCCCAGCGTTCAAGCCCCACGACCGACAAAAAAAAGAAAAAAAAAGAATATTGAATGTCTCCTGGGTTGTATTTTGATTTTAAAAAAAGGTATTATCCATTTAGAAAAATGGGAGTTTTAGCTGACAGACCCAACAGTACAGGTTTTTAGTATATGAAATACACAGAATATTTGGACCCAAGTACCCGTAAGGAAAGAAATAGATACCAGTGACATTGATGGGAATAATGCAAGAAGAAATCACTTGGGCATCTTGTTTCATCTTCTCCTCTGGCGTTGGGAGAGGCAGCGCTTGGCTCCAGTTGGTCTGCTTGTCCAGTGTCGAGGGGATATTGTGTATTGGGTTTTTTGGCCTCTGCCCTAACATGACATCTGCATTTTCATCCTCAGGAGGGTGAGACTGTAAACAAAGTATTTTCAGATTGAGCCATCATAAGTTTTAGGTAAGCACACGTATAAGAAAATTCATAGTTATTAGATATGAGAAAATGACGTGATAAGCTTTTAAAATGAAAAAGGAAGGATTCTTAGAAAAAGTAAGCACAACTACTTGAAACCATTACTTCAACATTGAAGTGACACAAAAAGACAATTGGGCAAGTTAAACATGCTGGTCAGGTAAAATGGAATGGAGAAAGACAAGGTAGCCAGAAATTCTCGAACTTCAAATGGAAGAAAACTGCCTATCTCCAATCCAGTGAAAGTTAGATCCACTTCCTGGCTTTTGTTCTCACCATAAATTCTTACTTAAAAAAAAAATCTCGAGAAGCCAGGCACAGGGGGCTCATGGCTATAATCACAACTACTCAGGAGGCTGAGAACTGAGGACTGTGATTCTAAGCCAGCCTAGGCAGGATAATCTGTGACACGCTTACCTCCAATGACTCAGCAAAAAGCTGGAGGGGAGTTGTGGCTCAAGTAGTAGAGCACCAGCCTTGAGCAAAAAAGCTCAGAGATAGCACCCAAGCCCTGAACTCAAGCCTCAGTACTGGTGTATATGGGCACATATACCCACACAGACACAGACAAAGACACAGACACAGACACATACATACACACATACATACATCTCAAGAGCTGTCCATAACTACAATCAAAGGAAGCACATGATGTAAATGCTTATAAAAAGGCTTTAAAATGTGCCAGAAAAAAAATGGAGTCTAGAGACAAGTCAACCTAATCTGGGAGGCCATTAAAACACATGGGAGTTCATGTCACTGCAGGAGGATGGCTTTTGTGAATCACATTTAAGAAATTTACTTCAATCAATACTATATACACCTGGAAGGGCAAAAGTAAAGGGGTCTCCCCCATCCCCATCTACAGAGTATAATACAAATGTTGTTTCTGGAAGGAGTCAACTGGGTTGCCTTTTCAAATTTGAAAGGGTGAAACAGCATTTAGTTTATTTTCTTTTGGCTTGACAGTACAAAACTCTCCTTCAAGCTGTGCATTTACAGGCTTTGATTTCTATATGACATTTGAAATTTCTCCATCTAAACCTTCATAAATATTAATATTGTTTAACTTTTATTCCAAGATAGGCTCCTAGCCCAGATTAATAAAAATCAGCCCCACCCCAGTTTTGATATCTGGGTCGTTTGAAAACCAGACTAATAAAAGACCCACTTTTTACCATTGAATCTAGTTTTATTTCTTTATACAACTTGGAGGAAGCTGAACATCAGTAAAAATTGTTTCCTCTTATGCCAGTAAGGTTTTAAAATACTCTGCTCTAAACTCAGGGTCATTTTTAAAGAGCTTCAGTCCTTGCATTTAGAAACATTCCCTGTTGACTAGGAGTATTTCATGTATTGTCAAATAAACTGTCCTCAAGTCTCCTTGAAAAAGCAGCAGAGCAAATTGTTTAAAAGACCCTCCAGCATTTACTTACCTTATCAGATGTTTCTGCAAAGCCCCCTAAAAGACCCAGCAGCACATGACCCCCACTTTGGAAAAAATGTGCTCGTCATGAATGTTTTAGTAAAATACTGCAACCTTCTTTCTTCAGCTTTTGTGTAGAGTCCCAGCAAAGTGAATAGCTCAAATAAAGTTCAAGCACAAAAAGAATTTGTTTCCTAGGTAACTTCTAAAAGAAAAAAGTTTGGTGTGCATGCAGAGTCAGAAAGAGAGAGGAGGGGGCACACACACACAGAGTGACACACACTGGAGCAGGCAGAACTACAGAGAAATGGCCACCACCAGAGGCCTCATTTCTGAGAGGCAATTCCTTCCTTGAATAACAATGGACTGGGGAAGGAGTAAGGGATAGTGACCTGACTTACAGGCTCTTACTAGCAGCCAAAAGCACTTTTTATTTAGGGGTAATAGGGACAACTAACTGTCTGTCAGAGAATCCTTTTGTCCTTTTCTCTCTCTTTCTCTCTCCATCCTGAACTTTTAAAATTGTGATAAATATAGGGAAAATTGGAATTTCTTTTCTCCAAACAAGGTCCAAGAGCAGCAATAGGTGATATCCATGGAGAACAGAGCTATAAATTGTAAAAGGGGGCAGTAAATGGGGAAAACTGCTAATGGTAGGATCATCTAAATAGTGTTTTATCTAATTCAAGTTAGGAAAATACCACCCTTAAAATGGATTTAAAAGAACACCTGTTAGTTGGAAACGAGAGTTTGCAATAAAGTTAAAGGAGAGAAGAAAGGGAGAGTGTCTGAGCAGAGCAGGATAGGGCTTACAAAGAATATTCTCAGAACCAATACCTTTCTACTCCATGGGGCCATGTGGCAACACTCAGTGGGGGAGGGCGAACGGGTGCTGTTAAACTAGGAACATAAAATGCAAAAAAAAAGAAAGAAATTAAAAAAGAATACACAATATAACTTAGTTAGGCCAAATCTAAATATTAATCAGTAAAAGTACTGGAATAATTCCTTCTCTTCTAAATGAATCTTGGTTTTTTTTTTTTTTTTTGAGAAGCAGATAAACAGTGGTTAAGAGCACAGACTCTGGACCCAGACTTACTGAGTTCTAATACTGGCTAGCTGGTGTATTTTTCCATATGACCCAGTACAATTAGTCAATGTTTCTAAATCAGTTCCTTCATCTGTAGGGAAAAGTAAATAATAGCACTTACACGCCCCCCCCCCAGTGTGTTTCTAAGGACAAAATGAGTTAAATATATGTAATATACTTAGAAGAATCCTGGCTCTTAATATATTCTATATGGTTAGGATTGACTGCTTCTGCAACTATTATTATTATTACCTTTACTTTTTACTGTGAAGATGTCTTTGAAAAATCCCAACTTCTATCTTTTTAATCCCAACCCTTCTTGCTGATTTGGAAAATGATTAAATTATTTTCTTTCCTTTTATTTTCTTTTTCTGGGAACCACTTGGGAGGAAATTTACCATGTATGATCTCCTCCAGACAGTACAATTGGGTTTCTCCCTTATATTCACAGACCATCTGCTTTCTTAGGAGTGTCTCCTGTGCAGTCCTGCAGGACGCCGCACTCACAAGTTCTCATATGTGGTGTAATGCTGTGCTTAAACTTCTGAATTTTTTGCAGAGGAGACCCCAGATTTTCATTTTGTATTAGACATTTCAAATTATGTACCCAGTCCTATTTGGAGAATAATTTAGTACCCAGTATTTCCTTTGCAATATTTACTAAAATAAGAAAACACTTCAGGGTGGTATGCAAGTGTATACAAATGTATGAACTGAAATATGGTAGATTCAGGGGAGAGTGCAAAGGGTGTAATTCCTTAAAAAGGCTAATTCGCAGTCCAACAAAATGCCAGGAAACAGGTTGAAAGGGGAAGAGGGGGGGTCAAGGAGAATAGGGTAGATAGGAATAAAGAGATGAATAATTCAAAGCATATCCTACAAAATTAAGAAAACTGAGGGAACGGGTGGGTTGGGAGGGATGGGGGAGAATGTCAAAAGGAGTGACACTGATTAAGATGCATAAACTATATCATAAACTGCTTTTAAATGGTAACTCCTTTGTATAACTACTTAAAGATAATAAAATATATTAAAAAATAAAGTTCATTTACAAGTTGTATTTTTAAAAAATGAGTTCCTGAGCAGAACACTGAAACTCTGTTTTTGTTTGTGTGCTTATTTGCTTGAGAGGTCTTACTATGTAGCCCTACCTGGTCTTGAACTTGCAAATCTCCTGTTTCTGCCTCTTGAGTGCTTGGATTATAAGCATGCACTACTATGCATGGCTAGAAACTCCTTTACACTCTAAACTATACCATTTTGCATTCAGTTAGCCATTTATTATAGCATTTAGTCTATAACAGGGTTTTAATATAATATGAATTATCCTTGGATATATCTTTCTGAATTTAGTAGATTGTGAATTCCTAGACATTAACAGACATAAAATTTTCATTCCCCTCTTCCACGATACTAGCAGATTTCCCTCTAGCTTCATTAAATATTTGTCCACTGGAATGATATCAGCTTTGTGTATTTTATCAGTGATGAGAAATGAAATAAAATGAGGGGCATGGATCTCAGGAGGAAGTAGATACTACACAAAGCAAGAGACCGTGGGGGAGGGACATACAAAGCAACAAAGAAATAATCTTATAAATGTGTTAGAAACAATCGCATGAAAGAAAAATCATTTGAATACATATCTT